CAGTTCTCTATGATGTTATGTTAGCAAGAGATAAAGTTGAGACAGGATCTGGATTTCAAACAAGTGTTAGTACATGTGTTAAGGCTCTTTTAATTGCCAAGTTAAAATGAGTTTTGTTTCTTCTACAGTATTTAATGTAAATTGCATTGACTGTATACTAATTGTGTTGGTGTGTTGAAATCTGGCATGTCTGTTACAGAGGTCTTTCAACAAGCTTTTATTTTATTGCCTTGAGTATTACAGAAATAATAATGGTATTCTGTAAAAAGCTTGCAAATACTGGAAGAAGTGAGTCAGGCTTTAAGCAGAAGTAAGACAGTAGTGGAACTGATTATCCCTGTATAACAGCTTTAATTACATTAATTGCTAGTACCACTGCTTCTTCAATTGCTTTGACACAAGAAGTTAAGACAGCTACTTTTGTTAATCATTTAGTAAATGGCACTAATGTGTTGAGTACACAAGAGGATTTAGATAGGTGTTTGGAACAATGGATTGATGCTCTTTATCCTATTCAAATTATTGGAAGGAGGTTCAGAGTTTAAGAGTAAGGAGCCATCTCGAATGTCACGACAAATACCATTGGAATTGTGTTACTTCTAAAATTTACAATGATAGTCATTATAATTAGGAAAATTTTTAAAGACACGAACACCTCTCTGGATGTTTTAACTTTGCATAGTGAGCTTATGAATTTACAGAATGCTGTTCTGCTGAGTGTTGATTTGGCAGATGCTGCTGATACAATTACCCATGGCCTGAGGTCAATATTTTCATTTTGGTCAAGCTTCAAGAATGGCATATAAAGCTTGATCATGTTAGCCCTTTTTGTCCTGGGAATACTTTTATTCATGTCCATCGTGTGAAAGCTTGTCTTTAACAACATCAACATGTTGGCAGCCAAAGTACATGGCATGAAACTGAAAACTGACCCCGAGACAGAGTTATCAAATTAATAGGCTGGCAAGTCAAGGATGAGTAAGATTCTGCACACAGCCTTACCAATCTAAGACAGAAGGGCATTGCTTTTGATAATGCATATTCCATGATGGGTAAGGAAGGCATTCTTGTCAGAATGACCTAAGATAGGCTCAGTCTTGTTAATGAAATAAAATAGGAGAGGCAGAGAGCTTTTTCAGCTGTTTGGCAAGAATCTGACATGGGCCAAAGACAAGGAAATTGGCTGCTTGGCAGGAATATGACATTGGCCAAGGATAAGGAAGTGGGCTTCAGGCAGGAATCTGACATTAGGCTAGAACAAAGAAGTAATTTCAGGCAGGAATCTAACTATTAGGCTGGAACAAAGAAGTAATCTCAGGCAGGAATCTAAATATTAGGCTAGAACAAGGAAGTAAGCTTCAGACATGAAAATGACTTTGGGCTAGGACAGGGAAGTAGGCTCAGATATTGTGATCATCATGATAAGCCCTTAGAAACAGTTAGCAAGGGAGTGTTCACAGAACTTTGTTTATTGCCTTGTTATTCAACTATCTAGGTTTATTGTCTTGCTTGTTCCTTGACTATTTGCATCCACTGTATTGTTAGTTCCTCAACCTAGAACTGACTTTAATACTTGCATGTAACTAAAATGGCATAAAAGCAAAAATGTGGAGAGGGGATGAGATAGAGGGGTTGGGGGGGGGCATGGGGAAAGGAGATGACATATAAATGTAAATAAATACAATAGCCAATAAAAAAAAAGAAAAGAAGAAAAACAGTGTTGGTGCTGTTTTAGAAGGTTGTATAATCTTTAGAACATGGGGCTTCACTGGAGGTCGTGGGCCACTGGCCTTGTGTTTGTGGAGAAGGGGATTCAGCATTTAATGTCTCTGATTTGTATCTCTCTACTTCCTCACTGTGGATATGGAGCCAGCCTCTCCTCCTGCTACCATGCCTTTCCCATCTATTGTCATAGAATTTGCTGTACCCCTCTGAAAATGTAAAACAAAATAATCTGCTTTCCCCAATAGAGTATTTTATCTTAGAAACAAGAAAGCAACCAAGGCAATAACTGACAAAGTCCTTGAATCTAAAAAGCACCCAAAATGTTTCCTGATAACATGAATATGAGGAGGTAAAATCTTGCATAGAAGAAGGAGTATCAGAGAGACTCAGCACCTGTTGAAAGAAAAACAACACTGCCAAAATGGGGTCTAGGCTTTTAAGCAGAATATTATGATATGATTTAAAACATAAACAGGGGAGGCAAGTGAATACCCAAGACCTAAGAGACAGGGATGTATAAGCAGAGGGGAATTAGATAGAACTGATTCCTAACAAGTAATGGTATGCAAGGGCAGTACTCATAAATTTGGGGCTGGAAGTAGGTTTTTATAACTGATTAATTTTTTTGTTTATTCCAATGTAACCAGCTTCTCTGTTCTGATGATAAAAGTTCCTAAAACGTTCTTTAAAATCTACCCAGTTCTAACTTTCACAGACAGAAAGGTTTTTAGGCCACAAAACCAACAGCAAGCTTCTTCCCAAATACTTATTCAGAACAGCTCACCAGTGGTCACTACTGTAAAATGTTCTTTTTTTTTTCTTTGAAATATTACATAAAGAAATCTTCAGAGTAATGTGTATAAATAGACCACCACTTATTCATAGATGATTCATTAATAATCAAGTCATGCATATTCATTGTTTATTTTGAGAAGGCTGCCTCAAAGTCATAATGACTGTCACTTTAGTCAAGTCAGAGAACCCAAAGCAATCAGCAGACAAAGCTCCAGCATGCCCCGCAAGAACCCTTTCTCTTTGTATTTAACACACTTCTAAATGTGAACAGTGGCTGCGGCTGAAAGGAATGCTCACAAAAACCTGTGGTTTGACTGGCTAAACCACCACAGTAAAATATGGGTAATCAACAGATATATTACTTCTGTGACCATGCAGATGGCTGCAGAGCAAGGAATCCAGGTAAACTGAAAACTAGAAGCAAAACTGCTATTGACAATGCAGACTGGAACTCTGACAGACACATAAGACCTTATCCACTGCTGTTCTAAAGGAACAGCACTGTTGAGATTTTTTCCTCACAACTGATGCCTCTTTTCTTTCTTATTCAAGCTATAGAGTTTTAAAAACTTGTTTAATATCACGTTTACAGTATGCTCACTGTTGTCATGGTCACAGACATCACTGTGCCAAAGTCAGACCTCACCATCACTGTCTTCCTTGGCCTCTACAGTCACAAGCTGCCACTTGTCACTTTTATGAAAGTAAGCAACATGTTTACCTTCATAGTTTTTCTTCTACGTAGAACAAAGGGCTATATTAGACTTCACAAATATCCTTTCACATGGTCGACAGTTCCTGCTACCATGCCTTGATGCATAGGGTGAAAATAGTAAGGCCTCACTTAAAATTGTTATTATTACACTTATTTACCATGAGTGTCCATACATGTGGGTGCATGCATACCCTGACACCCATGAGGATCAGGGGACAACTTAACAACTTCTATCTTGTGGATCCCAGGGACCAAACTCAAGTAGTGAGATTAGGCAGCAAGTGCCATTTTTCACTAAACCATCTTGCCAGACTTAAATTGCTAATTTTAAAAGTAGAAAATTAATTTCTCTAGTGGAAATCATTGAGGCAAGAGCTAGACCTTTATAACATGAACCAACATTTACTAATGCCACTTGTCTGTCTCATACTGTTTAACTTAGTTTATGGTCAACAATACATGTTCAAAACAGATGTAGTTAGCTTCAGTTCTTACTGGTCTTTTTAGTACTGAGCAAATTTGCAGGTGGAATGTTTTTTAAGCTGAGAGAACTAGCATTGGACTAAGGTTTCACTAGAATTCGAGTACAACAATACAGAAACCCGGGCTGCAAAGTACTTTGGAAAGGTGGTGGAAGGTCTCAGAGGTGGCCTCGAAAGCAAAGTCTATCTGGCTTTCTCCTGCCCACTTGTCTCTTCCCTCTTTTGCACATGGACTGAGTGACAGAAAGCAGCATTCCTCTTGTCCAACACAATTTACCTTCACCCCCCCCCAATTCAAACCACAAAGTCTAAACCTATTATGCTACCCTTTTCTTTGTCTTCCTGCCATAGAAAGTTCTTTAGCTGGCCCTTGCAACATAACCCTGCAATCCCAGCTGCTTAGGAGCTTGAAGCGGGAAATTCCAAAGACAGATTTCTACTTGGGCTACAAAACAATTTCAGTGCCACCTAGGTTACTTAGCAAGATCTTGTCTCAAAACAGAACGTAAACAACAGTAATAACAGAGAGCTGGGGCTACACAGATCCATGCAAGATAAAGGAGCATTTATTAATTTAAAATAACAGATATTGTCTCCAAAGTTTCTACTCCACGTTTGACTTTATAAAAAATGATGGAGTCATACAGCACATACAAGAACAACAAAGTTAAGAGAAAAGCACCTGTTTGTATCCTAAGAAAAATTACTATGGCATTACTAAATGAATATGCACTTTTGCAAGCTTTCAAATGTCTAACAGGTGACATTTAATAGTAAGGAAACTAAATGCTTAAATAGAAAGGAACAGAAACACCTGGGCAGGTCTGCAAGCATCGTCCTCTATTTAGCATGCAATTTCATTTTCAACATAATTAGCTTAAATGAGCTTCTAAATTTGGGTGATGTATTGCACATGTAATTAAGATTTAATTAAAAATGTTCTGTAATAAATTGTTTTCCATTTCTGACAAATCACATTAGAGAGGTAGATTTTGATTTGGAAATAGTTTTTTAAATGTGTTAATCATCTGTGCTGAAAATATGAGAAAGAAAAAAAGGCAGTTCGGCTGAAAGTCACTTGGGATTTAAGTAAAGGATACAGCTGGCCCTTACATCATTATGAAGTTTAGGTGAAGAGGATGGTTAAACGCATTCATTTTTATAAATATCAATCTTTTTATTCTTACAAAATATACAAATACAGTTTAAAAATTCTACTGTGAACATTCTCATACACAAGTCTAGTCTCTTGATAAAAAGCTGCAACAAGGTTTTGTGCCTACCTGCTAAATCCTGATACAGAGATGAACCCTCTGTTGCCAGTCCAAGACAGATTAAGCCACTGGACAAGAACGCAGCGAGCCTGTAGGAGCTCCAGTGAAGTATCATCTAGCTTGGCCCAGTATGGCTGCAGGTTGAGGTGGATATACTGTAGAGGATCACAGCAATGCTGGTGGAGGAGCCTGCAAGTCTGTGCTAGTCTACACAGGTCTGGTAGTGAAAGATGATTCAGAATCAGTTGAATGAGCTATATAAAACAGAAAGCCAAGATCATCAACAGGGAAGGACAGTATCGCTTTAAAAAAAACACAGAATGTGGCCTAATAAAGAGCAGTATAATTATTTCAAACATTATCTTCGCAAAGTAGATAAACCAACATTTACCACATTATCCAACATGTACATTAGACTGCACTGCATTTAAAAATTGTTTAAATTCTGAACTCATGTTGACAACTCATTTTTATACACCACAAAGGTATATACACTGGTAACTGTTGAAATAATAAAAATTTTCAGAGAGAAGATTTTATATATGCCAGTCGTTGGTGATATAAAAGAAAGGAACTTCTACTTTGAGTTCTGGGGGAATCAGTAAATAGGATAAGCTAAGCACAGCTTCACTGGAGACGTGCAAGTATACACCTTCCAGGCAAGTACCACTTATAAGTGAGGGGCAAAGTGGGTGGAGAGTCTAGTGGTGAGGATGAGGTTACTCAGAGCTTCACTTGGATTTATCCTGAAAGGAATGAGGATTCAAATTACAGTGACACAGTAAGCTTTGTGTTTTCAAACACAGGGGTTCTCCATGAAGCAGAAAGCAAGGTAATACAGAATTCCAGGAAAGCAGGGAAAAGACAGATCCCACTGAAGGCAGCTCGCAGCAACCATAGGGCAACATATATTATTAACAAACTAGAAACAAAAAGATAACCTTAATTACAATTATCCATTTGAACTAGTCCAAGATTTGTTTTCCAGTTGGGGCTTTCTAAACTAGTTTTCAAAGAGCTGTCTTAGTGCCCTAAATTGAACCAAGAATCAGAATAAAATCAAATATCAAAAATGCATGTTTAATGACAAAAATCTTATTTAGATAAGAGGGGTTAAGTTTTTTTGACATAAAAGCATTTACATGAATTTTCTGCTTTTGTAAGTAGTTATATCTTTTAACATAAATGATCTTTAGTTTAATATAAATTTCATACTAATGTTGGATCATATTTCACTGTTTTGAGTCAAATATTCTAACATTCAAATGAACAACAATATAATTTTTAAGATAAATTTAAAGATTACTTATAAAATATGGGCAGTTGCTGATTACCATATTGTATGTAATGAGGATTGGGATACATTTGCTATTTCTGTATAGCATTTGAACTAGGCTATAGAATGACTTGAGGACATTTGTATGCCTATGTATGTACTTGTTAGAAAAACAGGGAAATAGAAATTGTTAGTATAAAAGCTCTGACCAAAAGTTAGTCTTTTTTCTAGACTTTCTCCCGGGCCTATCTTATGTTGCTTTATATAACCCAGCTATTATCAAAACACACTAAATACTGCATCACTAAGTTAGCAAGAATCCTCATCATCCTCCATGATATAGGTACAGGTGGATTATCTGTCTCTAAGAACAAATCTCATTGTTTCAGGTCCACTTAAATGCTTCTTCTCTGATAGTGCTTCTTAACAATTTCTCAACCCCTGATCTTAAACCTGCTCACTGGCTTTAAGTGTCCATGATGTATTCAATACAAACTCAATCTCCTTAAGTGAAAAGAACCACTGCAGAGTCTCTATCATACGCAAATATGTTAATGAATTTTCATTATTCAGATAACCCTGTTGACACGAGCATTATTACACAAACAAAAATATGGAGGTAAAAATTTATAAAAGCAAACACGGAAGTGTTGGGTTTGGTCTTGTGTGTTGTGCATTCTGTGTGTTATGCTGAGTTCTGTGCCCCAGGATCAGACTGCAGTCTGAACATGAGCACTGTAGTGACCTATGTTCTGTAAAGAATGCGCCCCCAAATCTCTGATTGGATAATAGGCTAGAGCCTGTGACAGGTCAGGAGAGAAGAAAGAAGAACTTGACATGGAGTAGTGGGGTCTAAGGTATGGACAATGAGGAGAGAATAAAGGTAGGGGATGAAGGAGGTCACCATGAGGAGGCTGGACCATGAAGATGGCCCAGAGACAATCACCCTGAGGACACATATGGACCACAGCAAATAGGGCAAAACTAAGCTGGCAAGTAACACAGGGCCTATGACTAGGATGTATGTTAGAATAGCTCAGAACCTGCTCAGTATAGTACCATAACTAGTTAACAAAATATAGCAACTCATGTCTTTTATTCAGGAGCTATACGGGCTAGCCTGGGGGCATAATCCTCCCCCTCATAAAATTACTTTAGTACAGGAGAAAGATGGAAAGTAAGGTAACCCACACACGCCAGAGATCAGCAGTATTAACAGTTGGATTTTTTGTTTCGGTCTTGGTTTGGTTCGGTTTTCTGATCTCTTCCAGATAAATGAACTTCTATTCTTGGGCATGCACTAAAAGAATGAAAGTATATTCACTGTTCAGCATCTTGCTTTCTTATTTAATGATCTATCCTGTACATCTTTATCTGTACAAACAGACCCACCCTATTCCATTTCAGACATGTGACACTATGCCAATAACAGATGTTTACTGATTTATTTCCTGCTATTCTCTTTCTTATTGCAAATAATACTGCAATATCGTTGTATGTATTATGTATGCATGCTCATCTTGGTAAACTGACACTATATCTTGAGGATAAGTTACACACATTTAAAAGTTGCCCTTCTGAATGTTCGTATCAATTTATATGTTCATAGTGTATGTAAGCATCCATCTGCCTACATTCGTGACAATACTGCTATTAAAACGTAACCATTCTGCGAGGTACAAAGGCAGGGGACATGCTGAACTGTCTTCATCCCCCAGCCCTCTTCCTCATCCTCCATCACATCCTTTTCAAATTTCTTTTTATTTTTGTTACTGTTGTTAATTGCAAAACTGTAATCCCAAAGGTGCTGAAGATGTTTTCTTCTTCCCTCCTCGTCTATTCAAGGACTCAGCTCAGCTGCATTTGTATATCCATCATCTCTGTCATTTTCATAATCTTGTTTCAACGTGAAACAAGGTCCTTCCTCAGTCCATATGTATATGTTAGAACCAATAGACTCATGGCCACTAGGTGAACTTTTCAAATTAGAAACATCTGTTTCTATTTCAGCTGGGACTTCAGTAACTACATTATAACTTTAAGAAAAACGGATCCATGTGTACGTGGATACACATACATGTCACGTTGACTTACTGTGTCTTTCTATTCAAGTATACCGTATGACTTAACATTTAACAATCTTTCATGTCCCAGGTGTTTCCAAAGCTCTGGATGTTTACCTATTGTAGTCTGTCAACTAACTTTATTTCCTAATTCTCCTGAATATTCTAATATATAATCATTTTATCTGTAAATGATTTCATGCCCTGGATTTCAAAAGGTACACCTTTTATGTCTTTCTTATGGCCAAAGTATTAACCAGAACTTTCAGAATGGTATCAAGTAATGTTCTATTTTCAATTTAACTCAAATTCAAATAATTTAATTCAAATACCTGATAAAGCCACGTGTAGTTTCAAAACTTTAATAAACATATTTTTAAAGACATGGTCTCATTCTGTAGGCCTGGCTGCTTTGGAACTCACTTTGTAGACATCTCAACTCATCAACATTCTTCAAGTGTTTCAAGAGTATATACGGCTACCATCCAGGACCTGGCATTTCTACTAGTATTTCATAATTACATAAGGACTGCTGAACTAGTAAACAACTAAGTATTTACTTTTTGATGGCTGGATAAAAATACAGATACCTCTCCCAGTTTTCACTTTGCCAGTTAGTTCTGTCACCTACTGGAGTAGATAAACCCCAAGATTATTTTTCCTTTTGACTCAGTACTTTGGTATTATCATCTTGACTTTCTAATATAAAAACATGTTTAATATCATGAATAAATCCTTGAAGATCTTTGTATTACTTTAAATTAATTCTATTTCATATTGTATTATTTATGTAGAAATAAATACATACTAAGAAAAATGGTCTGAAATTGTTTACTATTACTTAGTCTGATATAGTAATATACTAGTTCATTAAAAGTTAAGTTTTCATTATTATATATGCTTAATTAGAATTGACTGTTAAATATTTGAAAGAAACTATGAGTTATCGGACCTTGGCACCAAGTACCTTAAAATTTACAAAATTTATAATATAGCCTTTTTAGCAATAATATTGAAATTTATTTTTATAGAATTCTTTTCATTTTTTTTTTGAGACAAGGTCTCACTATGTAGCACTAGCTGGCCTAGAACTCACCTCTGTATCCTGAGTTCTGGAATCAGGGTATGCACCATTATACTAGCTCTATGGAACTTCTTAATTTTTTTAAAGATTTATTTATTTATTTATTTATTTATTTATTTATTTATTTAATGTATGAGTGCACTGTAGCTGGCTCTCTTCACACACACCAGAAGAGGGCATCAGATCCCATTACAGATGGCTGTGAGCCACCATGTGGTTGCTGGGAATTTAACTCAGGACCTCTGGAAGAGTCAATGCTCTTAACCACTGAGCCATCTCTCCAGCCCTCCTCTATGGAACTTATAAATACTTTGTGCAAAAAGATATCATGAATCAGAAAGTAAACAACTTACTTCTTCCAAATGAGTTACTACTTAAATAACCACTAGCATTTTCTGATGTAATCCAAACCTTCATATTAAAACGTGTATATTATATAAAGACAAATAATATTAATATAATGACATTCTGACACCTAATATAATCTTTTGGAAAATACCAAGATACAAAAAGAATGAAAAATCATCAAAGCTATGACAATAACATGTGAAAGAGCTCTTCTGGAGTTTGACTAAATAAGAGGTGACAGATTTCAAACCAAATAGACACGGCTCTTAATCATTACTAATATAGTGTCTAGTGTCTATAAAATTGCTTAGAGGTACATCTTGGCATGAAGCTCATTTAGAAGAACACAATGAATAGAGGATGTGGGATGTTCAAAAGGATCCCATCCACAGATGATTTACCTGTTCTCAACCCTCAATCTAATCTCTGAGACCGCTCAGTCTGTTTTACAGCACTGACTCTTTACACAGCATCCTTTTACTTCACATGTAATCAGTGTCCGTTCAAGGATGCTGTTTCTACATCCTGGCTTCTCTTGAGTGTGTTGTATTGACTAAATCTTCGGTATGTATTTGAGACCATCTATAGGCTCTTTCCTTTCACCATATAAACAAGCTAAAATTTCACAATCCATACCACAGAGACCTTCCTACTCTACTGAACCCCCCTGCTTCCTCTGGCTGGGGCAAATCACACCTACAACACACTCCATCATTTATATGCTCTTCATTGTAGAATACAGTACACATATAAAACTGCCTGACTAATTTGGGCAATTTCTAGAATATTAGCTATGATTCCATATTCTTCTCTCCCATTCAAAACATTATACAAAAAACATAAAGCATATTATAATCATGCATCTGCTCTGTTTTTAGCAAATTATTTACTAATTCTAAATTATCTCTGATCCCATCCCAACCAATTTTACTAAGCACTGAAAAAGGCAGTACCCTGAAGACCACTGGCTGGATGTAAAAGATACAAAGCTTATAATAAATGCAATGCTCCTTGGTGCAGTAGAGCTGACAGTTCAGCAAGGCAAAGGCGACCCTGCAGCTGCTGTCTCTGTGAATGCAGCCGTGCATGTAGCATCTCCATCTAGTTCCATGTCCTGTACTTTCCTAGACAGATCTAATGTTGCAGGCACACAAAAATGCTGGTGTCCCAGCAGGTCACAGTTGTTGTTCTCTTCTCTAAATATTCTCTTCCCTCAGCCTCCACCACTCCTTTTAACGCTATAAGTGAGGCATTTTAATCAGGTGTTGCTAAAACTTGAAATCATTTAAATATATTAAATCTAAATTCCTATCTTAATAGTTTTCAGAAGTGGGCAATAACGAAAGCTGACTCACTTTCTAGAGGTGAACTGCTGCCACACAGATTTCAGAGCCCCAAGGAATGACATTATCACCATCTCATGCCCCTCTCTCCCAACTCAACCTTCCCATGTAGTGTCCCTTCCCTTTAAGGCATGGATGATCTTGCACAACCTGAGATGTTCCCTGCCCAAAAAGGCCTGAGTAAACCCCTAAGTCTGCATCTATTGACTGAATACTTTGGAGTCTTAAATTCTTCTATACCTAACAACTTTAGCTACTTTATAGATGTGCCACAACATCTTAACTCTAAAATGTTCAACAGATGTAGCTGTTATTACTCTTTGGCATTCAAGAAGCTGCCAAATCATTCCATTCAAGTTTAGCTATTTGTATCATTACACTGGAAAGTTAAACACCCATCAATTTATAAGAATAATATCTAGAGGGGGTATCCAGATCTAAAATTTTCATTTAAAAACTGACCATATTATTTTTTAGCATCACACAATTGTTTTCAAGGGGAGGAATAAATACCTGGTCTACCTGACCCTCGGGTGTTAGAAACGAGTGGGGAGAGATTTTTACATCGCATAGCTACAGAATTCTCCTGGTATTTGAGGTCTGGAGCTAGGGAGGCTAAATAACCACAGAAGGCCTCCCTAAGAAGACAGACACACTGAAAATAAGATTTCAAACCAGATATCAAATAGGTTTTTCTAGGAACACTGGACAGCCTAGACCAAAACTTATAGTTAGAATATAGACTAAGGGCTGGTAAAGAAGATGACTCTCAGAGAAGCTGTGGCTATGAAGTGGGGTATGTGTTCACCTTTTAAACTTCAGTCTAATAGGTATAAACTCAGGCACATACTACTATACTGAACAATTAAGAAAAGTGAAGTACAGTATATTATTGATATATGTACTAGGTTCTTATTAAATACTGATAGAACAACACACTTATCTAGTTTATCCAGACTCTCTGAAGTCAATCCAAAACAAAATATAAATTCTTTAAAATAAGTTACTTTAGTTCTCCAAACCCCAAATCTCTAACACATCAGATTTTATATGCCTCACCAATACTGCAATTCTTCTGATTCCCAGCAAAGTAAGCATCTGTTTCAGCACTAAACCCCAGAAGCATTATATCCAATATTGCAACTACTTTTGGCTTACCTCATATGGTAGTTTATCAAAATACCCATTATTTGGCCCATCCCCAAGGGCAGCACTGCTAAACTTTTTGTTAAGAGCGTCCATTCCACAGCCGTCCTTCTCTTCATAGTCATCATCTTCTAGATCATTCATGTCTACAAGTGCAGTCTTGAGAGAGAGCAGCGGCTTGTCCTTAGTACCATGTAGCACAACTGCATCTAATTCGGTGTAATAATCCAGAAGAGAACTATTTACTTCCAGTCGTATAAGGTTTGTAGGGAAATTTATTTGCTTAATACAAGGTTTAAACTGGCGAGCCTGGGAAGCATTCACTTTCGTAGGTCTCTCTGACCAAAGAATCTCCCATCTGCCAAAGAAAGAAACATCCTATAGTTTAGAATGAGATCTACCAGTATTCTTAGGGTACACTCCCCCATGCCACTACAGTGTGAAGTAAAGGAATTGAATAAGGAGAAAAGAACCAAACACAAGACTTACTTCCAGAATATTATTTTTAAAAAACTAAAAAAAATCAATGTCAGATATCTCTACTAAAAATATTTTTACAAGCCATCTAAAAGTTCTTTGTATTTTTCCAGAGATTTCACATTCATTAAAGACTAGAGTCAATAGTTAAAGGCATCTTAACCATCAAAATTCAGTTTTACTCAATATAAACCCTGAGAAAAAAATTAGCACACAGAATAAAGCAGATTCTCAATTAACTCAGGAGCAAAGCTGATCCTCTTACTTCACAGATGCCTGCCTTCCAGCATTTTTACTTTTGTTATTGGCCTCAGGAGAACTCGAAATTCCATGTTCTCTCTGTGTGGGGGCGTGTATATGTACAGCTGCACTTGTAGGGAGACCAGAGGAGGGCAACCAGGACTATCATTCCTCAAGCACCAATCACTTTGGTTTGGTTTGGTTTGGGTTGGGTTTTGTTTTGATTGCTGTTAAGATTGTCTTCACCTCTGCCCACACTGAGCCTACAAGTGTACACCACCATGGCTGTTATGATTTCGATATGCTTGTCCCTGGAGTGAAACTGTTAGGAGGTATGATCTTGCTGGAATACATGTGGCCTTGTTGGAGGAAGTCACTTTAGGGATGGGCTTTGAGACCCTTCTCTAGCTGCATGGAAGTCAGTCCTATTTGCCTTTGGATCAGGATGAGGAACACTCAGCTCCTCCAGTACCATGCCTGCCTGCATGCTGCCATGTTTCCGCTATGATGATACTGGACTGAACTTCTGAACCTGTAAGCCAGCTCCAATTAATTGTTGTCCTTTATAAGAGCTGCCTTGGTCATAGTGTCTGTTCACAGCAATGAAACCCTAACTAAGACAACGGCCTACTGTTTTCACATGGAAGCTGGGAATGAAACTGTGTCTTCAAGCACTTTATGAACTCAGCCATCTCCCAGTCTTCAAGCAATGTTTTCCTGTTTTAAAAATGCAGGCACTAAATTTGTCCAGATTTCCAGGAAATTGTTTTATATGCCCTTATCCTGAATTGCCATTTTTTATTCTTTTAGTCACACCTATATCTGTAATATTTAACAAATATCTAACATATAACAACAGAATATCATTTTCTTCTGTCCTTACAATAGGACCTTCATTTCCCAGCCAAATAAATTATCCTTACTTTTCTCACAGTAGACTTACAACTAACTTCAACCTATGCTCATGATGTCTTCTCAGTGAAATGTACAATGTACTTCTATTACTCTCCCATGTCCACATAAGTCTTCTAAAAAACTATTCCCTAAAATTACATAAGATTTTTCATGAATAGTTACCACATAGTTAATAATTTCATACAAGTTATAATTAACTACTCTAATATTATTATCAGATAAAACAGAAAAAAGGGAGTATATAATTATTTCCTTTGGCTAACAGAGATTTCAACTCTGTAAAGGAAACCAGAAAAATTTTATTCTGACTCCTGCCAGGGAAGCAGATGGGATGAATGCAGATCTTCCTTCATCTCTTCCTCAGATCCTCCAAGTCCAATCCACCAGTCTTACCCAGCTGTATCCCTTGTCCCCTGCCCCTATCTCCAGTGGATCAGCCAGATCTTCCCCTCCTAAATTCCCTCCCCCCTCTAATTTCTTTATTTCAAACCCAGCAGGCATTCACTGGAAACCCAGCAGCAACTCTGACCAGGGAAGCAAGTAGGCTAACTGCAAATCTCACCTCAACCTCCCTCTTCTCTTTTAAGACCAACCCCTAGGTCTCATCTCAGCTCTGTGGCAGAATACCTGCGGCAGCCTCCTCTCCCTCTCTGGCTCCGTTCCTGAAAAACTAACCAGATGCTGGTGGAACACCCTGCTTTTCCCACTTCATGTGGACCCCATCACCTCCTATACCCCTCTTCATAGCCCATCCCCATTAGAAAGTGTCAGCTCCCAATTCCCAAGAAAACACTGTAACTACACCAGACTTCTCATTGGAGACTCTAAAAGCCAAATTGTACTACAGAGTAATAGTAATAAATACAGAATGGTACTGACACACACACACACAAAAGTTACATCTATCAATAGTATTGAATTGAAGTTCCAGATAAAAATCTACACACCTATGGAAACTTGATTTTTGATTAAGAAGACAGACACATATACTAGAAAAAGACAGTATCTTCAACAAATGGTGCTGGTCAAACTGGTTGGCTACCTGTATAAGAATCCAAATAAATCCACACTTATCACCCTGTACAAAATTCAACAACAAATTGTACCAAAGACCTCAACAAAAAAAACAGATACACTGAACCTGAAGAAAGAGAAAGTGAAGAATAGTCTTGAACTCATTGGCACAGGTGACAACTTCCTGAACAGAACATCATAGTGCAAGAACTAAGATCAACAATTAATAAATAAGACCTCATAAAACCAAGAAGCTTCTGTATAGCAAAAGACATCATCATTTAAACAAAACAAAATACAAAAAGATTTTATCAATAGAGGACTAATATCCAAAATATAAAAGGAATTCAAAAACTAAGTATCAAGAAAACAAATAAACCAATGTAAAAATGAGGGACAGTTCTAAACAGAATTCTCAATAGAGGGAACTCAAATGGCTGAGAAACACTTAAAGAAATTTCAACATCCTTAGTCATAGGGAAATCCAAGTAAAAACTTACTTTGAGATTTCATCATACACTTATTAAATGACTAAGATCAATAAAACAAGTGATAGCTCAAACTGGGACAGATGTGGAGTAAAGGGAACCCTCATCCATTGCTAGTAGGAGTGTAAACTTGTATAGCCATTACGGAAATTGATGTGGAGATTCCTCAAGAAGACGTAATCTATCTACCTGAAGATCTAGCTATCTGACTCTTGGGCATATACCCAAAGAATGTTTCATCTTACCCACAGAGACACTTGTCCAACCATGTTCATTGCTGCTCTATTTATAATACCTAGAAATTAGAAACAACATATACATCCCTCAGCAGAAGAATTGATCCAGAAAATGTGGTACATTAACCTAGTGGAGTATAACTAAGCCATTTAAAAAAATGAAACTCTAAAACAGAAGTCCATCTAAATAATATTGCCAAATAATGAGGGAGACAGAGTATTAACTGACCACTTCTTGTTACCAAAGGAACCTTCTAATATCAAGATTAGATTACGTCTAATTGAGCTGTTGGTCAAAAGGGCCCCACAGGAACCCCCAAACAACCCAGGCTGATTCCAAGACAATATTTTGCTTTCACAAACTGACAGCCAGGTCTCATTGCAGAAGATAACACCTACAAAACTCATTGAACATGGAGAAGTTGGGCTGGTGCCTACATAGAGCCTTCACCCCTATGTTCTAACATCTTTGGTACAGGAAGGAACTCTGCATGCTACCAAAAGAGAAACATAAACACCAAGTTATCCACAAGTCCTTTGATCTATAATGGTGTCCAGCCTACAAGATTTGCTAGGGCAATGGTGGCACAAAGCTGGCTGAGGTAACCAACCAATAACTGATTTGACTTTAGGCCCACTCCACAAAATGGAACCCACTGGCAACAATGCTTACAAGTTGGAAGAACTTGAGACTAGATAGCCCAGAGACCTAGGGTACAACCATATACTACTGGTCTAAAATAAAAGGTAGTGATAAAATAGCTCCAATTATACTCAGATCAGTGCCTTGTTCAGTCATCATCAGATACTTCCTGTTAAAGTAGATGGAAACAAATACAGAGACCCACAACCAGACATCAGAGAGAGAGAGAGAGAGAGAGAGAGAGAGACAGAGACAGAGACAGAGACAGAGACACAGACAGAGACATAGACAGAGAGAGACACAGACAGAGACAGAGACAGACTGACCTTGAAAACTCATCCATCCATAAATGGGATTTCCCCATCAAATCCCTCGCCTCAGGGCTCAGAGAACCCTGAGGAAGAAGAAATAGAAAAAATGCAAGAGCGGAGGACAACCAAGAAAACAAGGCTTTCTAAATTTACACGAATAAAGCTCAAATGAACTCACAGAGACAGAGGTAGCATGCACAGGGCCTGCACAGGTTTGCACTAGGTCCTCTGTATATATATAATGGCTTCCAGTTTAGTGTTTTTATAGGATTCCTGAGTGTGCAAACAAGTGAGCCTCTGATTCTTGTGCCGTCTCCTGGGCTCTTTGACTTCTGTTGATTTGTCTTCTCCAACTTCATTGAGCTAGTTTTATCTTATTGGATTATATTTTATTTTGTTATACTTGTATTATTATCTCCTAGAAGCCTGTTCTTTTTGACTGGAAACAAAAGGGAGTGGATCCAGGAGAGGTGGGGAGGAACTGGGAGGCACAGAGGGAGAGGAAACTGTGGTCAGGATGTATCATGTGAGAAACAATATTATTTTTAATAAAAGGGGAAGAAAGTATATTTTAACTCTCAATATATACTATTTTAAAATTGCTTTCCAAAGAGCTTATGGCAGGCAGTATAAAAGAATGACCACTGAAAGGATCATAAATTGCTTACAGTAATCTCTAATTCTCAAAGTGAGCCATATCTCCTAGTGACAGAATTTGCAATTCACTGATTATTAAAACTTAATGTTAGCATAGTAGCTAATAATACTGTTTACATTAATAACAGACTATTTCCTTGATCCTAAGTAAAAATAAACTAGAGTAAGGCACATAGAAACTGAAATAGACAAAAGTTTATAAAACTCAAGAAGAAATCTATAAAAAGAAGCTATTGATATGTATTCTGATAGTCTTTACATATGCCAAAGTAGAACTAAGAAGAACATATGACCCCCCCCAAGAGAAAAGAGAAGGAAAATATGGTTATTCCTACCTTCAAGAACCAAAGCATAAGTTCAGTGAGAATTCTTTTAATTTTTTTTCTTTTCAGGGAATCCAATGCAATATTTAAATATGTATGCAACACACAGTGATCAAACCTAGGCTTCCTAATGTAGCCCTGACGCCCATAGTAGTACTCTCAATCTCTAACAGTCATAGTCTCCTTTTAGGTTGACATTATTTTGGCTTCCATATATGAGAAAGAACATGGTGTGCTAGTCTTTCTATGTCAGACTTATTCCAGTTAACTGAAGAACACATAATGTCCACCCACTTTGCTGCAAATGACAAAATTTTATTCTTCTTTATTGCTGGCTAATATCCATTGAGCACACATTGCTACATTCACTTTATGAATTCATCTGCTGATGGGCACCGAGGCTGAATCTACATCTGAGTTATTCTGGACAGTGCTGCAGTAGACATAGGCATACAGCTGCTTTGGGAAGGTGATTTTCTTTCCTTTGAATACACTCAGAAGTAGAATACTCCACGGGAGTCCTAGTAAACTCATCCCCAACGGCGACATAAACCTCAAAACAAGAAACATTAACAGGGACTTACAGTTTCTATAACCATATATATCACCCACTCATCTGTTACTTTTTGAAGATTCTCTTCTGAAGATAAAAACAAAATACATGAAATAAAGAGCTTGCCTTTGTACTTAAGAGACAACAGTCCAGACCATCACTAACTACAAAGTAACAAGTTGGCATTCGTGTGAAAGGCCTGGCCTTTCAACTTTGACTTCTCGCTAAAATCGCCATCCCAGGTCTACAAGGTTAAGAGAACCGGGATTTGACAATTCATGAAATTGCTGCTTAAGCAACTTCCTCTGGCAGCAAGTTCTCCCAAGGCAGCCTCTGCTGCTTAGCTTTCCTAACTTCACTGGAGATCAGCAAACATTAGCTAGCCCCAAATAACATAATCCCAGTTACTTTAGTATGACATCAATTTGCCATTTTTCTGTCTTCTTCTTCACCTTTTTTCTCTTTCTTCTAAAGTGTAACCCTGAGCTAGCCTATTTTCTGATCCTCAGCCATAGGTCCCGTTGTACTACCTCTTTCCTTTTCCTCTTAAGGCACTAGGCAAAAAGCCAAAAAGACACCAAAATCAATAGAACTGCCTGTGATTTCCTATGCTGCTGGCTTACAAAGTCACAAAACCTATGAAAGCATGGCTTTTAAATCTTTGAATGTTTAAAACTATAGGAAGTTCATTTCCTATATCAAATACCTCAACTACTCCAATACTCTCAAACTCATTTCAGCTCCTAAATGTCACAAAACTGTTCAATTAAACAAGAGGCAACAGTCCAGTGTAAGACAGAGCTCTCCTGACTACAAGGAAAGAGAATATTACATACATACAAAGATACACACATTAACTGTAAAATTGTTCTTTATTCACAATTCATGCTAATTGGATAAAAGAGGTAGTAATTTGATGATAAATGGTATTGCTCTTTCATTTGTCTTCTAATGCCTGTGTATTAAGCAAAGTGAGTGATCTGTCAATTATCATATAATTGTTGGCAGTAGCTGACTCCTTTCTCCCACTCACGGCTCCTGATCTCTTGTATTTATCCTCCAGACAATCCTGCTTTGCTCCCTGGGACATTCATCTGAAACCCTGTTAACAAAACTACCATGGGCTCCTGAGCAGCATGCAGCTCGCTTTGTCAGTCCCCTTCTATCCCTACAGCCCATGCTAGGACTGACAGGGAGTCAGACTGGAATAGGAGACTGAACCACACAGAATTGTACCTTTGTCTTTTGAGTGTCCCCTCTCCTTGTTAGCATCTCCTAGAACACTTCCACAGTAAACAACTACACATGATAGGGATCGTCCTGTAGCTTCTGGAAAGCCAAGACAGCTCTGAGACCTCAAAGTCCAGAAACCTGTCTCTAGTTTAGATCTTAAATCCATCTTCTGAGGTTTGCAGCCACTAAGGGAGCTTGGGCTTTTCTCACTTCTTGAACACTGATCTAAGCATGGAAGGTGTTATCCTTCTCCACTTTTCCTAGCCCCACTGGAGCCACCCTCCACCCTGAGTGAATTGACTTCCTTGAGGAAACCACTTGATCAATCTCCCCAGAGTCACAGACACATTAGGTGCTCCCTAGCCAGTACATGTCCCTTAAAATATCACGGTCCACTTCCAGGATGAATCAAAAGCCATCTTTGTGTGGTTCTATGTTTTGTTCCCAGCAGAGAAAGGATGTCCAATGAATGTTTCCCACTGTCTAAGGAAACTCACCAAAATATTAAGTTTCTGAATCTGAGCAGAGTAAGTACCTTTTCATCTTCCTTTTAGACAAAGAAGCGTCTCTTAAGCTCACAATCAGTAAAACTTAAAAATGCCTTCTTGGAGCTAAGTAATTCTAGCACTAGAAAGATGGAGGAAAGAGACTGCTGTGAGTTCTAGGACAGCTTGGGGCTAAAATAAAAGTGTCTCCAAAAACTGAAACAAAACAAAGTTTCTTACACTGCAGGAATACATATTTATCTGATTCCTTTTCTCTTAAAATGTATTGGTGTTTTCAGAGGAATAAAGCTAAAATCAATAAAGTGAATCAGAGGCGTCTACAAATTAAGTTTTAAAATTACACAATCAAATCGGCTATGCAGTAGTACCTGGGAACAGGGAAAAGGCAGTGTATGTGTCATAAATCTCAGATCTGTTCACAGCGTTTAAAATGTGAACAACTTTGTAAGAATGATAAAGAATGACCAGATGTTATAAATAATTCTCACATGAGAAAGCATCTTGTCCAAATTCCTGCTGGGTTTTTTCCTTTCAGGAAAGAACTCTGCATATAAGATGATAGTTTTGTGTTTTTAGTAATTCATTAACAACACTGTACACAATAAATTATCAAAGCAATTTCCAACAATAGTTGAGCTGACCTCTGTATCTGTTTCTTGGTAGGATTAGAACATGTTCCTTGGAACTAAGGACAGAGATGCAAGTGTGTGTGGGGAGCTGCCCTGTGCTTCCCTTCTCTGACACTAACTTCTGGGGTCCCAGTTCACTAATACCTGTGAAAAGTGCCTGCAAACCAGTCAGCTAGAATAAGTGCCTAGGGAAAAGGTTTTTATTATGTACATTGCTGATGCATCCTCAACAGGTATAAAAACATACAGCACATGATAGACACTAACTAAACTGTTCAGTGAATAAATCTCATAAGATTCACATAAAGATCTGAAATGAAGAGACCAACAAATAACAAAAGAATAGACAAATGATCAGATAATCAAAGGAAAGGGATATATGTATATGTATATGTATATGTATATGTATATGTATATATATATCGTGCTTACATATAGGAAAAGGTATTCAATTTCAGAGACAATTAAAGAATCTTAATAAAGATAACAAAAACATTTTCACCAAATTAATTACAAAACTATGAAAATTATTAACATTGTAAGTATTTCAGCAAAGCATGTCCACATTTACATTTCTTGTGGAAATATAAACAAGTACAGACCTTTTTCAGAGAAATTTGGCTCCATACAAATATTTATCTCCTTGGCAAAGTAATTCTTCTGGGGCCATTTATTTCACACGAAGACTTACAGAAAAGTGAAAGTGAAGTGATGTATGGTAACTTTATGCTCTGCATTAATGCTTATATTGGCAGAGGACAGGCAAAAGCTAAGCACCAATCAGTTAAGGAGTAGTAAATTAACAGGACACACAGATGGGACTCATTACATGCAGCTACAGGAAAGAAACAACGAGCAGTCAGTCTGCTTCACTGCTACATAGTGAAACAAGCAAAAATACCCTGAGCACTAATTATTGTATGGATGAAGAAAAATATTATATTTATTCACTTACATCTACAGAAACATGGAAATAATATCAAGAAAACTTTAGAAATGTTTTCTTTGGGTGGAAAGGATGGGTTCTAGGCACACGGAAAAGACATATATGCATGCCTTCATTCCATACATTTAGACAACTGGTCTATGTGATCATATCACACACACACACACACACACACACACACTCACACACACACCCCAGGGAATTGTACAAAAACAAGTATCATGGGGCTGCTCTACAGGTTAATGATGTAAACAGACTTTCAGGGGAGATCAGCCATTTGTTAAAACTTAGCATGTATTTTTAAATGAAAGTACAAACTATGAAAGCATTCACCTAACATCTAGGCTAATCTCCAAAGGACCCCTCGACAGCTTTACTCTATAGGAATATCTTGAGGTGTACTTAAAAGTATTTTAAAACAGTTAGCATGATGTTGGCTTTAAAGTAAGTTTAGAAGCCCTGATACTTAATGACACTGCTGATTGCACCACGTCCCCATTACCTTAAACTATGCCTTTCATTTACGGTAAATTCTGTGACAAGAAGACAACATAATCTATGATTATAATGTGTGGTGTTTTAGAAAGAAAACATACATTAAATTTTCATGTGAGTGATCTCTCCTCTTCATCAGGACATTAAGAAATCTCAAAATCAAAGGTATCTAAGTGACTTAAGAGGATGCTGCCAATAAGAAAAAAGATAAACAAAAAACAAACAAAACAAAACGTTCCAGTGCTGATACAGCTCAGCCTTCTGTCCACATGACCTGGGTCATTAAAAATGAAAAAATGAATCTTACCTTACTTCAGCTGGAGGATTTGGGGAGTAGGGATTTGCCGAACAGGCCAGAATTCTGATGACTGCTCCGGGATGGTAGGTCTCCAGCACATGGACAGCTGTGGGATACACTTGTTGCTCAAAAGTAAGTTCCACATAGTCCTGGCTCTGAAAACTGGACGGTGTTCTTCTGAATGGCAAGGACGCACTAGGACACTGATCCCACCATGTTCCATAAGTTCGAAACACAGCCGTCTGTGTGAAGTCACCAGAACTTGGGAAGACATTTGGTACACCTGCCAAATTCCACATGGTATAGGACATGCTGTTCTCACTGCCGTAATGGGAACTGAAATCCACCACCTCTTTAGCATACTGGACCACCTCCGCATTGAGAGGGGAAGTCCGGCTGCTTGACACTATAGTCCTATGGCTGTTCATCATATCTCCTCTTGTAGCTGTCCTGGCTCGACGCCGAAGGCACATATAATAAAACATGGTCAGAACTGTTAACATGGGAAAGACTGGTGACATCTAGTCGTGAATTATGAAGCTTCAAAAGGTCAGGTGTCCTCGGTGAGATGCATGAACTCTGAAGGATGGTCTACAAAATGAATGGCTTGGTGAAGTAAAATAATTTAAGTAAGAAAAAAAAAGAAGAAGAAGAAGAAAAGAAAACAAAGAAATGCATGGATACAGCAACAAAGAGGCGCTTTCCCCAGTGTCATTTCCCCAAATGAAATCTGAAAATGTAAGTTTTTAACTATAAACATAATCTCTGGCATAAACAATGTACCTAACGTAATTTGTAAGAAAGTGACATATATAACTTTATGCTAAAGGGGGAAACAAATTGCTGATGTAAGGCAATGAAAGACATATGAATCCCAAAGTCATATTTTATATAAAATAACCATCATTCAAGAAGTATCAACTACTTGAGCTTTTAAAATTAAAGTTATTTAAAATATGTCATGGACTACTAACATATTACTTTCACCTCAAATCATCTTCGGCACTGAGATACTTACACATTTTCAGGAACAATCCTCTATTTTTATGAAAAGCAAGAACCATTACTGCTGAACCAATACCCTGGTCCTATGATTCCCTGTGGATAATTATTTGATTCTCCCAAATATGCTATGTACAGATTCCACATCATAGAAATACAGTTTTTCGAGATGACAGTTAATTAGACCAATGAAATTAATTGCCTTACATATCACAGATCAACAGGTGGCATTTCATCTGTACCTTTAGTGTTATTTGTTAGGTCAGTTCTCAGCTACCTGGCATCTGACTTGTTGTCACACACTCTTAGGAATCACTCACCCCAGCTCGAAGTGTCACGTGACACACACTGGCAGTGCAGGAGCTGGTTCCCATCCACGTATCTGAAACACGCATGCTGCTTTCACCTACAGATGCTGAAACGTGACAGCCTGAAACAGAGTTTAAACAATCATTTTTATTTCTAAGTTAAGAATTCAAATTATTTCAAGAGAAGTACATTTACAAAACTTTGGCACACTGATAGGAAAGCGATAAGATAAAAAGCATACGATAATTTAAAAATAAAACTTTCCAACTAGGCTATATTTCTCAGAATCTGTGGACAATGCTGAATTAATAATTTTTGAAAATTTGTTTATCAGAATTTGATATATATATATATATATATATATATACACACACACACACACACACACACATATATACATATATATATCAAACCATACCTTACTGGAGGTCTCGATCCTATGTTTTGCTTCAAGCTATGCCTGAAGAAATATTTTAGGAGAGCCAAACAGTGTCTTTAAATTTCTGGACTAGTATGTAACCTTCCATAGTCAAGAAGATGCCAGGAGGCCACTCTTGTTTCAAGCCATCTCTACTAACTTACTGTTATAAAGTTAGTAAAAAGGTTACTGCTTGTCAATATGAAGAAGGAAATTGAACTCGTTTTATAACTGTAATGTCCTGGCTCCAACTTTTTCTATGTAGAAAAAAAGAGAACCAAATTCTCCACACATACACAAACTCTTTTTTTAAATTTAAGTACAGTAATGCTGCAGCCTCCAAAACTTGAGCACTAAGATTACAAAATAGGACGTGTATTGGCCCCAGTGGCTGTTTCTGAAATACAAGACACAATCTACATTCCTTATATTGAGGCTTTCCACGAGCCAGACTGCACTTCTTTGCTAACCTAGAAAACACAGTTCTATTCCTTATATTTTACTTCATGTCTCAATACTCCATTTTTTGTTGCCTGGCGGCAGCAAGCTTACCATCTGACTCCAAACTGTACTACATTTGTCTCAGAAATACTTTTAGCAGGGTTTATATTTAAGAACACATTTTTTTTGAAGTACTGAGCCCAGGCAATGGTCTTCATTTGTTAATACGTAGCTTGATACATACTTTATGATGCATACTTTGCATTTCAGCATGTTGATAGGAAGATGATATGAAACAAAACCAAAAGAGATTGGAATAATCTGAAAATACACAACAGCATCTTCTGCCTCTCTGTACCATCCTGGTAGATGCTATATAAAATTCTAACCATTGCAATAATAAAGGGTTAAGTGTAAAACAAGTGTAAAGAATGCACACTTGTGAGAAAGAGGATAATCCAGAGCAGAGGACACACACTGGAGCTAACCTGACTCACATATTACTTTATTAGCCAGAATGGTTACAACAGAACACACTAACAACCAGAGAGAAAATTACTAATCCTTACAAATACAGGTAATGTTTGGAAGGACCTTCATGAAGCCCAAATCAGAAGGAATCCTGTCCATGGAACTAGAGATAACAAACTGGCTCACTCACTGGCCAGAAAACCACAGACACAGCGTCAACTCAATGAGGTATATGCCATGCACATGGCCTAAATTTGCACCACTTCCTAGTTTGGAATTCCACTCTCCAGAGTGAAAAAAAAAACTAGTTTCAAATTGGGAACATTCTGCACATGGTAGGCACAAATATGAAGCCTCTTGGTAAGGTTGTTTCCACACAGGAAAAAACCGAACCCTTTCTGAAGATACATGCCCTTGAAAAATCAGCCACTACAAAATGAATCACAAAGAGGTCAGTTGCTGAAGGTGACAAAGAGGAATTTGCACTGTCTGGGACAAGGAAATTTAGATCAACCAGAGTAAGACCTTATGGGGAAAAGCAGAGAGCATGCAGGGAGAAAAGCCACGTGACACCGGACAGCACTTTGGTCAAGAGGACAGTCAGTACATCAGACCTTGTCTCTTATGCCAAACTAAGCTCCTGTTTCATTTCTCAAAATTGTTACTCAGGAAGGAATCAGTGTGATAAAACCTAGGAAACATCTACAAAACAGGGTATCTTCATTTTTGTCAGTCCTCACAATCAATCTTGGCAAAAGGATCTCAGCTAGTTTTTACTACTGCAGATTACAGGATAACGTAAAAACCAACAAGTCTGTCATATGGGCAATAGTATTTTTGAGCTGTGTAAAAGCTAAGTAAAATTTGCATTAAGGGAATATATGTAAAACCTGAGTTATATATTGTAAATAAATGTTATGCGGTTAACTTTCTTCAGATTAGGAATATAAAATGGAAATTTGTTTCAATTCTGAATAAAAGGAACTTAACTTTTAAGTAAACTTAACTTTTTGTAAAACTAAGCTTAAAAACTAATATAGAATACTATAATACTACAAAAGACTGATTTAAAAAAATGTACTTTTAAGGAGAAATTTTCAAGTTCACACAAAAAGCTATTTTAAGGATTCTCAAAGCATATAAAAATATGACTTTGCAGTTAATAAGCCAAAGTTGGCAAAAGAGTGGCTTTCAGGTTTAGTTATTACTTAATTCAGTTCCTTATCAATAGTGATTATGAGGTGAGAAACTGTGGGGTCTCCACAAATGGCCATCAGAGGACCAATGATCATGAGCCAAGAAGGAAATGCCATTCAACACAACGCCCTTAGTTGGTTTGAACTTCTAGAGTCTGACACTGAGCAGTGTGCTTTAGAGATATTTATGTACAGTACAATTTTGGGTAGTTTCCTTGAAACAACTATCTCAAATCTATGTGCACAATAAAGCTCAGGGCATGACTACATCGAAACTCTTTTGCAAAGGCAACCTCTTCAATAAAGATGGGTTCTATAGCTTAAGGGCCTAGGATCTGGTGTGATCTGTTACAGATAGTGTAGAGCTATAATGTATATGTGGCACCTCCCTTAAAGATGACTGACTGAGAAACAAGGGTAACGATAAGGGTCTAGGGAGGGAGATTCTGGGACAAACAGTAGTTTGGGGATTCAGGTGTAGACTGGCCCTACAGATAGCACAGATCACCAGGCTATCAACTACATCCACTCTCATTTCTGGGTGAAAACAGGGATATACACTCCTTCTGTTGAAGAAACAACCCTGTGTGCTCAACATTCCTGGTTTCCTAGTACTTAATTGTGAGTACAAAAACCTTATGCCCTCTACAAGAAATTCCCAAGACACAGCAAACTTCACACAAGTACAACCAAGGAAAACAAAGTAACTACCAACTTAAGTTGTATCTTGACACTCTCATACTCCTGGGGAAACACCTTGTTATACAATAAGGTTTTATTCTAGTACAGCTTTGTTTTCAATCACATCTTCCATATTATAAAATGTTTGACCAACTTAAATAATATAATTACATACAAAGCATTAACAGTGGAGATAAGTCAAGAGATAGATAAGGTAGGATATTCATTTACCATGGAAACCAGAAGTCTCAATGGAGCAGAGAAGCTGGATGGCAGGCAAGAGATCTAGTGTCTAGGAGAAAGAAAAACTTCACGACAATAAACAAAAAGTGGGGAAAGAATGATTCACATCCAAAACAATGCAAAAACCTGGAAAACAAGTTTAAAATCAAGAGTAGATTCTCAATGTACAGGAAAGTGAAAAGATCCAGGAAAACAGAAGATGCAGGCAGTAAAGCACAAGCAGCAGAACCAGCAGGTCACACAAACCACTTTTAAAAAGCCTCCCAGAGATGTGGCCCTAAGTGACAGAGAGAAGGGGTGGAGAGCAGTCAGTAGCAATATCAAAGGGAACCAATCATGAACAGATGCCTATCGTCAAGGAAAGGCCTTGTGTTCAACCTAGAAATCCAAACCTGAACATACGGTCATGAGAGAGGAATTATATTTGAACATGGCTCTCGATATCCGCACTCAACTAGCTGTATTTAGTTTCATTGATCCCTGCCCCCGCTAGCCATGTACAATAACAGACATCCTCATATCCTCTCTGCTTCTCTAAGAACTTCTTCTTAGTCTCCCTCTTAGGTTCTCTCCCGCTTCTTCCTTTCTCAAGTATACAGAAAGAAAATGTTCAAGGAAGGGTTTGGGTACGACAGGTACAACAAAGTTCAACCCCATTAGCGCCCATCTTCCCCTCCCTTCTTTTCTACAGTGTCCCCTACGCTCCCTACTCTTCCTGAGACCCCTGGTCCTGTCTGCCTGGCATCAAGTTCTCTGCTGAGGTACAGCTGGCCACACCTTCTTCCCCTCAGCCAAGGTCCCATTGAGACTGTGTTGACCCTTCATGTTCCCCTCACTCTCCTAGCCCTATTTCTCACCTGCAAAGATGTTTCTTTTACAACAGATTGTGAGTTCCTCAATTCAAAGAACATATCCTACTTTAACTATGCCTGATAAAGAGTATGCCAATATAAGCTCAATAAACATTTTCTGATCATATAAATTTACCACAAAAAGAATAATAAAAAAAAGCTTAAAATAAACATAGAACTGGAATCAGTGATTCCTCAAGACAAAGCTCATATGAAAAAGAAAAAGTCTTGATATGAAGAAGGAGGAAAACGGATAATAAAACCTGAAACATAATAGGCCAGAATCAAATGCATGAAGTTCCCTGAAGCCATCCAAGGAGGAATAGTATACATATTGAAATTTTACTCTTCAAAGGGAATGTCAAAAAGGGGCAACTTCTGTTAGTACAAAAGCAGCCCCTGAATACATAAAAGAGACTTGACTCTGGCCACAAAGGAACTCTGATTGAAATTAAAGAAAGCGTCATGAAAGATATGATTGGAGAAGTAAAAGACAGCTATTTTCTCAAATATGAAACAGCTTAAGCACTCCAAATCTGTGCTGAGGGCATGAGCTGATTATGGAGAACCAGAAGAAACACAGACGTAGAAGTTCTTAGAGAGAGAAAGAGAGAGGGGTGGGGGGAGAGGGGGAGGGGGAGGGAAAGAAGGAGAGAGGGAGAGAGGGAGAGAAGGAGAGAGGGAGAGAGGGAGAGAAGGAGAGAGGGAGAGAGGGAGAGAAGGAGAGAAAGGGAGAGGGAGAGAGAAAGAGAGAGGGAGAGGGAAAGAGGAGAGAGAGAGAGGGAGAGGGAGAGAGGAGAGAAAGGGAGAGGGAGAGAGG